AAAAAAAAAAAAAAAAAAAAAAGAATATAGCAGCGCATGGTAGCGTGCGCCTGTAGTTCCAGCTATTTGGAAGACTGAAGCAGAAGGATCGCTGGAGCCCAGTAGGAAGATGCTGGAGTGGCCATGAGTGTGCCACTGCACTCCAACCTGGGCGACAGAGTGAGATTCCAGCTAAAAATAAAATAAAATAAAAAATAAAATAAATTTTAATGGGCACTTAAAATGTATGCATATGCACTTAAAAGTGGTTTAAATGGTAAATTTGTTGTGTATATTTTCCCACAATTTTTTAAAGAAATAAAAATAAAGAAGATTTTATCTTATGTCATTATTAGAATGATCACCATTTGTAAGTTATTTTATGGTTGAGTAAAAGAGAAAGTGATCACATAACCACTATGGAATGAGTATATCAAAGCAAGTTTAAATAATATCAAATCCATTCTTAACATCTACTTTAAATGTATGAAACAGATGAAGAAACAATTACAAAGGCTGTCAACTTTCACATTCCTGTGGTACAAATGCTACTGTGTCACTCCTGCAATGAGGTGTGTATCCGCAAGCCTAAAAAAAAAAAAATGCCAAGGACTAATGTTCACATCAAAAATTAGCAAAAGCACTAAACTCAACAATGAAACTACAGACTACCAGAAGAGACTTTTGGGCTCATTAAAAAATACATACATTTAAAAGTTAGCCTTTATTTCTTCAGGTAGTAGTGAAAAATATACGAGTATTTATTTAATTATTCTTTAGATGTTACATGTAATCTTTATTACTTACAAAAATTTTGGAACAAAATTTTGAGAAAATTTTAATACAAAATTATAAATATACTCTGCTTTCTTCATTAAAAATGTGCATTCTCTTAGACCTGTTATTTTTACATACAACAACTTATTCTAAGGGAGGATATGAATGTGTGCAGAGATTTGCCAATAAACATGTTTATTAAAGCAAAGTTTATAATAGAAGAAAATTAGAAACAAACTAATAGTAAATGTTCCACAATTGGAATCTTTAAAATGGCATGTGCATACAAGGGTATAAACACATTTTATGTTTACATTTGTGTTCCAAGACTGTAAGATTCAAATTGTACCATTTTAAAATCACGTTCAAGCTGGGTTCGGTGGCTCAGCCTGTAATCCGTGCTTTAGGAGGCTGAGGTGAGTGAATTGCCTGAGCCGGCAGGTTCGAGACCCGCCTGGGCAACTTTGCAAGACATCTCTACAATCAAAAAATTAGCCAGGCATGGTAGCACGCACCTCTAGTTCCAGCTACTTGGAAGGCTGAGACAGAAGGATCGCCGGAGCCCAGCAGGTCGAGGCTGCAGTGGCCAGGAGTGACCACTGCACTCCAGTCTGGGCGACAGAGTGAGACTCCAACTTAAAAAAAATAAATAAATAAAATCACGTTCAAGGGCTTCTTAATATCTACATTTCCAACAGATCAAAGATAATGCAAAAAGAAAAAACTTTAATGTTAAACAAGAAGGCAATATTCCTTGACAAGGGACATGCCAGGACCAATGGAGTTGGTCTAGGAACCCTCATTTGTGAGCAAGTAAAATAAAACACTAAGAATTACCACCCATGGCCTGGTGCAGTTGCTCAAGTTTGTAATCCCAGCACTTTGGGAGGTCAAGGCAAGAGTATT